TGTAAGGTGTTAACCCAGACACCCAGGCACGGTAATTTAGATATCACGAGGAGTTATTGAACTCCTCACGTAAGAAAGATCTGTACAATTTGCTGTGAGCGACATCTCATCTTAGTGTCACAAGGGGGTGATAGCTGGATGATAATGCCACTTGTTTCTTCGCCCATCAGAAAGAAGAAAAACCTAGCAAAACAGGAAAGTTCCTAGCAAAGTATCACAGTCATTTGTTATATTAATGATTGTTTTTTATTTTTCAGACTGTAAGAATGTTTTGGTCTTGGTGCTGTACAGCTGAGGAACTAAAGATGACCCTTTCTTCAAAAAGCTTTCAAAGAAAAACTGTGCTAGCCAGAGAAAGATGGACTAACGCAGTCCTGGTCAAAATAGTAGTCTGTGAGTTAAATTTTTGCTCATTTGCATGGCATAAAATGAGTGTCAGTTCTGATTAATTGGGCTTGGTTTGAAAGCTGGAAGAGTAGCACTGCCAGCATGAGCTGGAGAGCAAGTCAAAGACGGGATAGAGCTGCGTAATTATCACAAGAGTTGGCGACAAGCAGAAGATTCTCCTACGCAGCAAAGAAGTTCCTGCTCTCTCCCCATCCTGATTCCCAATTTTTGTTAGGATGAGGGTCTGAAGAAATGAAGAGTAGTAGTATCTTAAATAAAAATATAAAACTTTTGTGAATATAACTGGAAAAGACTTTCACCAGTGCACTGATGAACTAATCTGAAAGCAGTGCTGCTTCTCAAAGAGGCAAAGTTAAGTGTAAGATCTGGAGGAGGAGGCCAATTTCAGTTTTAGGACATAAAACTTATTCCATGAAAACTCCTTCTAGACACTTATTCAGACCAATGAAGAGGCAAAAAAGCAGTCCATGGACTACCACTTAGGCCATCACTTGAGTGTTTCAAGGCTATAACTTAGAGATGTGATTTTCCCCACCCCCATCCCATCCCACAGAAAACTTGTGATTTTATGTGCTTTTTTATGCATGTATTAAACAAATGGCACAGCTGAATAGCTTTTCTTAAAAACTGGACATTCACCAAAAAGAAGTTTGCCAGCACAGACAATTAGGCTTTCTTCTTTTAACAATAGATTGACTGACTGGCACATTTGAAATGCGAGCGTATTTTTTATTCCTCCGTTCACCCTTTGAGCTGATAAACATGAACAATGGGAAACAGCTGGGACAGGAAAACATTTTAGTTTGTATTTTCAAAGCAAGCAAGAAATAAACCCATCAGTGGGAGCCAGATCACATCTTCTGCCTTAGGGGTAGTCAGCAATTGGGGGGAAAAATACGATCCATATTTTTAATCAAACATTACATATTTATTAATGTGCAGCTGGCCTATTGTGTGCATGATTTTTTTTCTTTAACGCTGTGCTGCGTCCGTCAGCCTGACATTGTTCTGTAACTGACATTACTCTATAAGGATCTGGAAATGCACAGATTTAATAGGAATCATTGAGACAATTGCTTTCTGTATTATTAGGTCTGTGTGACGTAGGTACCATCTGAAATTCAATTTTAGCAGAAAAATAAGATATTGTTCTATCAAGGCAATTTTGTGCACCTGTGATACAGTAAGAACATACACCCCCACCCTCCTATTTTCCTCCTCACTCATCTAACTTCAGGGCCATTTAATGATATGTGCCACTCTTTTGTTAAAAATGTTTGGCCAAATGTATTTTGATGCTTATTGAGATTAAACTTTCAGTACATCTCCCTGGTAGCAAAGGTTGGGCTGTTCATTAGTTGGAGGTTTGGCCTTGTCAGGTTCCATTGACTGCTGGCTAAAAGGATCACTTTATCATCATTTGTCTGCAATGGAGACAATCTTTATTCAGCCTTGATTCCTCTGGGGTCACAGCTGTCATAACTTCACTTGCTTTATAATGCAGACCCCAGTTTCACAATCCCCTTAGGTAATTGTCTAATACATTCAGTTTACCTTAATATAGGTAATATGTTATTTACAGAGAAATACAAGGGAAAGGAAGGGACAATATTGCTTAAAAACATCCCCCTCCTAACCTACTGCTTGGGATCAATCATTCAAAAATTATGTTAAACTCAGTTCTCATTTTGAACTCAAAAGGGAAATATACCTTTTTTCTTTTTTTCTGAGTTTTACTCTGATCCTTCTGCTGCAAATCTCTAGATCGAACCCTCAGGCCTGGTTTTCCACTGGTGAAAGTTGAGATAACTCTGCAGCTTTTGATAAGGCTCTTGGTGTTTTGGAGAATAAGGCCTTCATTTGTTCTTATTGTTCAGATCCTGTATCTAAAAGAAGTCTGGGGAGCTGAGCTTGTTTTAATTTATTTTTGGGGATTACTTTGGTTTTGAGATTTATTGCAACACACTAAAAATGTTCAACACAGAATGTACAAAGATATTTCAGCACAAACAACATATTTCATGCTTTTTTGATTCTCTTTTCTTTAGCTGTGTGAAACTGCTGCCACCATCCTTGTCATTGCATAACAGGATTTTCCTCAAAATCATACCATTACAGTGGGTGATACAGGACATTCTCTTGCTAGGTTTCATTGGGAGCCAACACAAACAAAGGAATACTGCAATTCACAGATTTCACAGAATATTCTGAGTGGGAAGGGACCTACAAGGATCATTGAGTCCAACTCTTAAGTGAATGAACCCACAAAACCTTGCTGGTATTAGCACCGTGCTCTAAACAGCAGAGTCAATTCCCTCCCAACACCATACTGAGAACACCATTTGCTCCACTCTCAGCCTCAGGCTTCTGGTTCATTCCTGGGACAAGCCCTAGGTATTAGCCCACTGCTCTGCCTGCAGGAGAAGCAGGACTGACAGCCAGGGACTGTGCAGGACTGACAGACAGACAACACTCAGGCTCCATAAGTGGGAATGCTCTTTGAAAGGCGGGATCTCCTGCAACGTCCTGGAATATCAACAGTGGAGTGAGTACATCTTCTGTGCCAACATTTTATATGCTGAAAACTACAGTTTAAGTCAACTCGGAACATTAAGTTTGAGTCTAAACTTCAGGAGGAAAGTTGTATTTTCCTTTGCATTTGTGAAAGTTTGTGGAAGCTGAGATCCACACAGTACTCCCACACCTTCCTCTGCAGGAGGATCCAGACACCAAATTCTCCACACTTCATTGACTGGCTATTTCTTTTTCAAACTGTTTCCAGAATGAGTGTCTTTATTTTTGAAACAAAACATATATTCTATGAATGGCATATTCTCACAGTAGTTTCTTTCAAATTCCACTCAGTCATATCTTGTGTGGGCATTTATACACTAGCATGTGTTGAATTTCCCAGCTAATATCTTAACTAAAAGTTGATTTTCATTTAAGCTTCTAATTCAATGCCACAACTGATTGCACTGCAATATCTTATTTACAGTTGGAGGTTGATAAGTAAACAAGCCATAATGCTGTGGAAAGTTACCCTTTAAATATTAGCTTTCATATATTTTTATTACTTTTTTTACAAATATCTTCCATATATGAAATTAATTCAAGATAGTTATAGAGAAAATAAATATTACATAGGGGGAAAAAAACAATCAAACAACCCCACAACCCCCAATGCAATCTTTTAAAGAATTGCATAAAAACTGGATATAAATGCCTGTTTCTATGTGTACTGCTGCACCATCCATGAAAACAGCCTTTAAGACAACTCATTTTACAAAGGGAAATGTCACTAGATATAGTGTTGATCATTAGGTGTACTACAGTGCATTCGTCTGCTTGTACCCCACTTTGATTACTATACAGCAAAGATGGCCACAAGCACTCAGAAAGTTTTATTGAGGTTTAAATCTTCATTCAAATGATGTAAAGGGGCATTGAATGAAGATTTAGAACTCTATAAAGCTGCTTGGCAGTGTCTGTGGCAATCTATGCCACATAAAAACTGAAATGCTTCTACTTTCTTATTGAAACATTTCTACTGTAATTCTTTAATATTAGGTAGCAGCCACACTGTTGGGACATTACCACATCTGGGAGTATTTCTCTTACCGAGGCATTTGCCTGCCATCAATTGTGCAGGATATTATAGAATGTACACACTGTTGATGTCTAGGACATAATGGAAGAGGAATTGTTACTGCAATTACATATTATTATGCTTTTCAGAAGATAATGTGGGTTCATTCATGTGAGTATTTTGAACTAGCAAATACCCTAATTGCTTACATGTCTGTTATAATCCTAAATCCAGTTGACATATCTGATGTACTGTTGCATTTTAATCTGGCCACATGCACATGTACTCCTTATGATTTTCCTCTGACCTGCATGAACTGTGCAAACAAGGAACACAAGTGTCTTGCACATTGCCTTTGCAGTTTTGGTCTAAGAAAACACCCAGGGGAATAGAGAGACAGAGCACTGTAACCAAGTGTACTTTTTTCAGGAATGTAGAATTACCCTGCGCAAGAGCAGAGGATAAGTGCAAATGATCTGATTATGCTGTAATGACAAATTTATGAAACGAAGAGTGTGTGCATTGTTTCAACTGTCCTTTCACAACGTATCGGATTGACAGAGAATGTGTGGCAAATTATTCACCCATTCACTTAACGAGAAAACAAAGGGAGATGATTAAGAAACATCAGTATTCTGAAGCAGCAATCAAACTGACCCTGCCAAGGAGTGAACAACAGCAAGCCCAGCCAAAAAGTGCTGCAGTCGTCTCGCTTTGTAGCTGCAGGTTTATGGCCAGTGTTGTTTCACAGACTCTCCTAAGGTAGCAAGCAGGGCAACAGAGATAACAGCTCGCTGCACGGGAACAGCATGGTGCCCATGGTATTCTCGTGTTCACATTGAGTGACAGAAAACGTTTGGAGAAAAGATGTGTGCTTTTATAAATTCTTATTTAATCATCCACTAGAGGGAGCTTACGTATAACCTCTGCTAGGCCAATTACGTCAGAGCTTGGTTTTGCATAATTGACGAAGATGAGGTAGTTATGGGGGGGGTACCTGCTCTGCCGCTCTTTTCTCCACCTGTCACCTTGGGGCTCAGGAGTGGCATTTTTGAAGTCTCCAGTTCTAACCAAAATAGCAATTTGCTTTTTTCAAGTGGAAGCAGCATTCTTGTTGGCATTAGGTGAGATTCACCTTCATCATCTCCAGACTCGGACCTGAGAAGGAGCAGCCACTCTTGAGTGAGGACTTAAAGCATTAGCAAGGCTTAACTTAACCTATCCTCTGTCTTTGCCTATTTCTATTCTGACTGTAAAACAATAATTCCATCGTTATGATTCCCAAAGAAGAAACAGGAAAACTACCTGGATTGCAGATGTTGCTTCCTTTTTATGTCAGCAGGACAAGGCTTTCAGCACAGTGTTTGCCTGGGAGTGCTTGCTTTCCAAGTGGAAACTCTGTATTCTTTCACTAGGAGGGAGCTGGTATAAAATGTGGTGTCCTTCACAATATTTAACATGAAAACACCTTCGACTATTTCCTATAATTTTAACTAATAAAAGACAGGTGTAGCTCTGTCATATCAGAAATACGAACTTTAGTTCAGTAGCAGAGATGCACTTGCAATTACAATTCTGGCTAAATCTAGAGATAACACACTTTCAAGCTACATACCCACACAGTACAGTCTAGCTAAGTAGTCAGATACATTATCAAAAAGCTTATCATAAAACTTGAAATTGCTGTATCCTTTACACTCATTTTGTTGCCTTTTTTTCTTTCTTTTTTTTTCTGTTGGAAGAGAAAACTTATGACTACACTTCAGCTGTCACCAGCTTTCAAGGTTATACTGATAGGAATGAGAAACATATTCCTAATCTGCATACCAATGCATTGAGAATGCAAAGGCAGGCTTTTTGCCATTGAATAGATGATGATAAGGTCTTAAGTCTTTTGAATTTCTTGTGTTGTACTTGTATTATCATATGATTTCTTAAGCTAGGAATGAATATGTAAATTTCTTGCCACTGACTTGCTCCAAAATAATGGACATTACACTTGCACAGTGGCAATTCAGAGTGTAAAATTGATTAATATTTGTTTTCAAAATGACATGCAATGATGTATGGATCCTTTTACAACTTAAATTAATACTTTAAAGAGATGAATGGTCTCTACAGAGGATGTTAAAGTTCAAGCTGAAAAATTTGCATATTTATATTACAACCAACTGATAATAATTGTCGAAACAGAATGTAATGTGGTTCGTTTTTCATTTTAATCTGGTTGTACTCAAACACAGGACCTCATTAACTTCCAGCAACTAATACAGCATTATCAGTCCCCATAAAACAGGCTTGCCTTGAATTTATGAATTTCAAAGACTATTTCCAGTGGTGAATCCCTGTTAAACACTGGGTCAGTCACTAGCATGTGAACTCCATGTCATGTGCCGCAGAAGCATGAAAGTTACCTGGGAAAAGTGCTTGAGAATCCCATGGCCAGCTGCCTACTTGTTAGCTGACACCTGGAGCCAAAATTAAGGTGTGACACAGACATCTTGCCTTTGATAGCTCACTCAAAGTTGGAATTTTTTGCTCTGAATGACCAAAGTCAGGAAATGTAACTTCTTCCACTTACTAGGTTAGGTAATATTCTGTAACACTGAAAAAAAAAAAAGAGCAAGACATCTTAATCCTTAAGATCTAAGTTTTGTAAAAGGAAAATGCAGAACTTTTGATAGAGTAAATAAGTAAACTTGGAAGATATTGAGGGTACAGCCCAAGTAAATACTATTCCACTTGTATCATAAAACAAGCTTTCTATCAGCATGTCTTAGGTAGTGCATTATAGGTATTCTTGTAGCAGATATATCAGGAAATCTCTACAGTACATCTCTAGAAGAATGGAGAGTTAGCAAGAACCTTCACAGGTCTGTGAATTTCTTGTTGTGAAATGGATATTGAATCTTCTGATAATGACGCTTATTTCTTTAGTTCACCAAAAGCTGATGGTTATAAAAAGAGGAGGTATTGCTTACATTGCACCCTCTTCAACTTTTTAAAAATATTTCCACAGAAGTGCTAATAAAAGGATGCTGTGATTAGGTTATTTCTATCAACAAAATTACTTAGGAGAAAATAATAAACTACTTTTTCTATGCCATCTCATATTTTGACAGCTAATATGAACTAAAATTCCATGGGCCTAGGAACTCACATTGACCCATCTGTTCAAGAGATCTGTTGTATGGCTGGTCTGGGATGGTGGGAAAGCAAATGTAACTTTCCTTTAATACTATAACAGCTCCAAGTAAGTTGGGACTCAAAAGGGCTGTCTGACAGCTGGCAGTAGCTGGAGTATGGATGCATTTGCAATCTCCTAACTATATTCTGACAGGGAAGAGGGTAACATTCCTAAACTAACTTCCTGTAGCCCAGATGTTGTTTTTAGGCAAAGAACAGGTCACTTAGATCAGTCCCATGGCTGCTTTGTTCAGTACTGGGAAAGTCCCTAGAGGCTGAGAAAAAGAGAAGGAACACTACGGAAACTCTGTAAATAAAGTAAATGTATACTTTGCTAATAAGAATAAGAATAACAAAAACTGTTACTTAAATGAATTAAAAGCTCTAAAATGTCAATACCTAGCATTATAACTATTGTTTCCCAAGAAGCAATCCAGATTTACCATTATAATCTCACAAAAAACTGTTTTGTAGATATTCCTCGCAGCTGAAAAACAGCTGAAGGACAACCTGTTCCAGTGATTGGACACTCATTTGTTGCAACTTTATAATTTGACTCTTTGAATGCTCCTCACAAAATGAGTCCACAGAATAGGCCAGTGAGATGCCTTGTTGAATTCCCAAATTTGTTATTGAATGAGCTATGTTGCATCCAAGCCACCACAAAACTTAAAAACAAAATCAAAAAAAGGACAGGTAAAGTAGTAAAGCCTCTCCTCCAGCATACAAACTCATAGATCCTACATGTTGGGAACTAAATGATGACTAAATAATTGATTTTTCATCGTAAAGGGAATGTGCCTTCCTACAGAGCTCTGTAGTGGAACCTCTGCTGTAATATACTCATAACTGACTTAGAAAAATGAGGGAGTGCATATTATGGAGACAATTTAATATCTAGTAGAATATTACCTAGGACAGTTGAAAACATAAACTGATCAAGACTTGGTGAAGAATCTCTGAGCAACTTGTTAAGAAAATGGCTGAAGAGACAAGATGCTGACAAAAGCAAACATTGCATAGGTGGGGGGAAGGGAAGAGAAAACAATACTCCAAACCAGAAACACAGTATGCAACCCTAAATAATTTATTATCACTTAGCAAAGTGGGAGAGTAATTATGGACAGTAAACATTAACTCAATGCTTGGGCGAGGAATGGAAAAACATTATACATACACAGCACCCCTGATTCATGAATACTTCTCAGTGTTTGATCTCAAACGTGGCATTACAGAATAACATAGAGAAAAATTATAATGACAACAACATTTTTGAAAGGTTTTTGAAAAATTAATTAGATGAGATTCCTTTGATTAGGACAGGAAAGCTTGAGAAAGAATTTGTGAGGAATCTATAAAAACATGCCTTAACATGGAAAAGATTAATTGGGAATAAAGTCACCTTTTCTCATACTACATCAGTTAGGGATCAATCTGGGAAATTACAAAACAGTGAGTATATAGAAATATATATCTCTTTATATTTTTCCTACTTTATCAAAACATGTATTTGGATGTTAAAATTGTGTGTGGGTTCAGGTGACTGGAGAAAATTCAGACAAGAAATGTCCATCAGAAATTCTTAAACACAATGATGCAGATATAAACAGCAGTACCTGCACTCCAGGTTGCTGGAAATAGTAAGACTGCCATGAGGAAAGCTTCATTTCATTGCTCCAGCCTTATGCCTGTTTTTGCAAACATCTGCAGGAGACAGGATGTAGGGCTTGCACAGCCACTGCTGTGCTCCGATGGACTGACGGAATAGCCCAGAACAGGAACACAGGGACGTTTGTTCTACTCCAGTCACAGCTCAGCAGATCACAGAATATTTTGGTTTTCGACCACACCAACCATACTGGCAAATTTTCTTACTGTAGCAAAATTCTTTGCCAATGAAACTGGGCTTTTCCAGTACAATCCCTGTGAGGCAATGAGGGTGAGTTAAGCCATCAGAAATATATATTCACACGTGGAAATTGTTAGCAATACTGCTCTTCTTTTCCCTAGAGACAGCTCCACTGCAACAGCCTTGGAAAACACATGCACACACACACACACACACACAGAGGGAGAAACAATCAATAGATACACTTAGAAAGCCTGTTATACCATGTTGTGCTTCACGGATTTTGATAATATCAATCATAATTGAGTTAGATATAATCCATCTGACTTTCAGTGTGCTGGGGTCAGCCGGGGACGCAATGCCTCACTTCACATCAATTACCACATATAGTAAGGTGGTGGTAAGCAATTCCATTTGATAGTTTGCAGCTATAAATAATTATATGGCAATAGCAGTAAAGTTGGCTCTTGGGCACAATACAGAATCATGAATTTTCATTTACTTATATCTCAGAAGCTGTTAGGCCTACTGGTTTGAAATGTGAACCCCTGGTTAGGTATATCAGTCTTTCTATTAATACAGTATATGCAGCTGGTAGATGCTTTTGAATTAACATTTTATGCTTTCTCTTACTTCCTGAGAATATTTTCATTACAAATATGACCACATGATACATAAGGATTGATTACAAATTGCTGTGACAAAGCAAACTTGGCTTCATTCTCCTTTATTGTCATGTTTCATCCTTCATCCAGTTTAGGGCCTATCCCATCCAAGTCTCTGCCAGATTTCAGTAAGAAGATGTTTTTTACATGCTCTATAATAAATTCTCAGCAATTTGAAAACATACAGAGTAAAGCAGATTTATTAATCAGAAGAGTAGTGCAGAAAGGTTGCAAAAAAATCAGAGATTGTATTTACTTCCTTGCTTTGCCTGGACACTTGTTCCTTTTAAAATTCTGCTCTTTATGACATATTCTGTGTTTTAAGAAGATTAGTCAACAGAGGCAGAGTGGACATAGAGTCAGATCAGGAATAAGGTAGGAATATGGAATGGAGTTTAGCTGATTTAAATGTGAAGATCAGAAAAGAACCAGGCTGAGGGACACCTAAGGAAGGCTGG